CACTGTGCTCAGTATTCCAGCTTCTTTCCCCTTCCAGTCAATCTGAGGTGCATCATTCCAGGTTAGCCTGTGGAAGAAACAAGGGTTTATCTAACATCTTTTTGTCTCATTGTGATCAAGATTGATTGGGAATTGGAGGTTCTTGGTTAAATACTTAGATCTCTGGAGAGCAGACTCTTCAGGGTCCTGACTTTGAATCATATTAACTGCCCCTGCTGATGATATCAGAATTTTCTCTAAAATAAATGACTTTATTTGTATACTTTATCCAGTAACATTCACTGAATGGCTATTGAAAATAATCTAATTTAGAGCTGAAATCTTCATACAAAGGCAGAACTCTTCTAAAGCCTAATTTTGAAAAGGGCTACAGGATGAACCGTGTGGTAGGACCCTTGACATTCTGAAAACTTGTGTATCTTAACCCACTCTTAGTGACTGTGTCTAGGGTGAATATGTACCTAAGTCATGGTTCACCACTTCTCTTCTGAGGACATAGCTTTTAGAATGAGCTGAAACTAAATATCCTCTCATTCACCCCTGTGAGTGGCCTTGAAATAAAGTGCAATCAGAAAGGGAAAAACAACAAAAATGCTTAAACTCATCTGAACAGCTCAGATTGAAACGAGGTTTTCTCCTACATCTATGTGCACACAGCACAAGATCAGTCTTCTCATTCAAATATATTGGTATTCTGGGACCTTAAATCATCACTACTTGATACTTCTTTTCTTATGATACTGTTTCAAGTATACTGAAATATTTGGCCACATTTTATATGTTGAGATCTCTCTTTGAAGGTCTCATTCTGCACTTTACAGACATGGACCACATTGTCCTGCATAGTATCTTGAACATCTACAAGGACTTAAGAACTAGTCAGAAACATAAAGGTATGTGCATGTGGATTCACTTGACAAAATAAACCAAAATATTCATACAATCTATCATTACCCTAGCCTATAGGACATTTCAATATCAACTTCAATTGAGGACAATGACTATACCATATGGAGGACTTTAGGCTTAAACAAGAATGGTAACTTTTCTGCAGGAGGACCAAAAATCCATTTTACAAAATATCTTCCCTGGCCTTGGAGTTCTTTCTACTCAGGGCCTGGGTACTGTCTCTGAGCTTTGGTAATAAAGGAACAAAAGTGTTGACAGTCTATAAACTTCATTCACAGTACTACTTGTGGGAAATTTGGTGATAATTGGCCATAACAATTTTACAGCAATTCCTACCTAGTTTGCCTTTCAATTGTGATCTTTAAACCTCATACTCTTGAGCAAGTAAGAATCCCGATGTGAAGCACCAGTGCCCTGTTAGATCAGGAGGTCTTAATAACTTGATCCACATAACAGGATATAAAATTTATAACATCATATAGCCATATGCAAAGGTCCTTTTGCAGTCACTTGGTAAAGGACTGTTTACCTATCATTGGGTAAACCACACCCAAATTCTTCCACTAAATATTTGGAAGGATGTGTTGGTTACACGTATCTTATTATTGGTCCTCAGGTTAAATTCAGGGGCAAAATTTGTGAGTCTTCCTTTACCTTCTATACCAGATGCCCTTTTGTATCACTGATTTTTCACCTTAGGGTCTTGCTTCTCTGCCTGGTCCTTTCAACACACTAATTTTATAATTACATATCACAAGTAGCAAAAAAGATAGGCACATATAACCAGAGCCATGCTTTTATTGGCTAAGATACCATTTTCATGAAGCTTTTGCATGGGATGGCCTACAAAACTATCTAATTTCAGCTTCCTCAATAGTTAGGATTCCACACATCAGGGAGTGTAATTACTCATTTTTAATTGCTGGTCTGAAATTAAAAGAGGAAAGGGTACTTTACCAATTCAGTGAGCATTAAGTCCCATTAATTCTGAATTCAAGCAAAGTGTTGGCCAAATGATAATAACAAAAATAATACAAAACATTAATAAAATATGTTATCATCAGGCATACTTTAAATGAATGTGGTATGTTGGTTCATAATTTGAGGTATATAACAGGCCTAGGTAGGACTCCAGTCTGTGAACCATCCCTTCTCAGAAAGCATACAGTTTGTAAACATGGGAGAATGAGCGATTCCCAAATGGATAGTGTGTGTGTGTGGTACAAATAGGAATGCCAAGGGCACAGGTGCCTCCCAATCCCATTTGTTTTACTAGGCCTCTGTAGATAAGCAGAAGGATTGGGCTGGGAAGGTGGCTCAGTGTTAGAGCACTTGCCATGCATGCATGAGGTCCTGGATTCGATTCCCCAGCACCACATAAGCAAAAAGAAAAAAAAAGCTGGAAGTGGCACTGTGGCTCAAATGGTAGAGTGCAAGCCTTGAGCTGAAGAGCTGAGGGACAACACCCAGGCTCAAAGTTCAGGCCACAAGACCGGACCCCCCACCCCAAAAAAGTAGAAGGGTGAACAGTGTGATGGAAGGGGTTAAGCGATCAACTAGCTAAATCTTGCAATGTGAAGTCCACTGTCCTTATCTTGTAAATGGAATCATAGGCAGGATTTAAGGATTCCTTTTTTTATTGTGAAAATACTGTAAAGAAGAGTTATTATTTTTTTATTTATATCCCTTCCCAGCATCCCCTCCACCCTCCACTCAATCCTCCCCCCTCCCCCCCAGCAGAAGAGTTATTTTTTAACAATTGAAATAAATACTGAAATTCTTGAAGCCACAGGAAGCCTGAGCAAAGCACTGAAGGAAACCTCCTGTTCCCAGAGAGAGATTTCTTCAGAACAGCCCACAGGGCTCATGCTTTGATTCCTAGCTTTTATGGAGGCCAAGATGACAGAATCTCCTTTGAAGCCAGTTCTGGCTGGCTTCAACTCAGTTCCTGAGTTCAACACCTCATATTGGCACAAAACCATTTCTTCATGGAAGTGTGAAAGTAGAGCTCTTCATGTAACCAAACAGCTCTGGACATATCTAGAATGATGGCTTATATAGGATCTGGGGCCTTGGTCTTAGTTTATTAATTAAGCTCTTTCTGATGTAACAGAAATTTTTTCTAAATGCCTCCAGGATATCTTTAATTACATAACTATACAGTGGCATCTATCTTGGCTCTAGAAATTCTAAATTTAGGTCAACCTTTCTGTTTCTGTAAAAGTAGACAGTATATTTGTTGGAAGCCACATTTTGGAAGATGGAATACTGGAGTCTATTTCACAGCTAGCAGTCTGAAAGCAGCCTGTTGTAACAAAGACATGCAGTCCACAAATACACTTAGACAGCTTGGAAATAGGACAGAAAGGGGGGGGGCGGAGAATAAAAACAGCACCGAGAAACCAATAAGCACCAAGAGAGTGCTGCATTGGGACACTATGATGACCAGAGAAAAGCCAGGAGACAGCACACAGGACATGATTACAGAGACATGTGGCATGGCATCTGGTGCCACTGCTGGGCCAGCCTAAATAGGGCCTAAGCAGTAGGCAGGTCTACAGGAAATTCCCAGTCCCAGGCACTGGACTATCGGTTTGAGTAATATATCAGCCAAATGCCCATGCCTGCTTGCAGGGATCCAGCCCCATCCATCAGTTGGGTGGTAAGTGACGGATGGGGCATTTCCTTCCCCCTGCATGAAAACAAGATGCCAGACCCCACCATCTACTATGTGGCCAATAGGGCACCAGCCACACCTGACCTCCTTACTTAATATTACTGAATTATTAAATCAATTTATAAAATGTTACACCCTCTTTTTCAATTTGAAAACATTCAAAAATTTGGTTTTTGTAAAAGCCACTTTTCTTGAGGCCCACCTCTTAAAGAATAATTCTCACATGTGTGTTAAACATTCTTCTTTTGAATAGTTTATTTCTTCCTTCTTCCTCATTGCTTCCCTTCCTCTTTCCCTCTCTCACTTCCCTCCTCCTTCCTTCCATCTTCTCAGGGTCTACATGTGATGCTGTAGCTCAAGTGGCAGATGGTTTTATTTTTTGGTTAACTTCAATTTTTGTGAGAGATTGATCAATATCTTTGTGTGCTTGATTATTTCCCCTAATATCATATCTACTTTGGCCCTCTATGAGATAACACAGGTGCAACACATCATCCACACTGGTGTTTTATTATAGCTCACTCAGCAGAACAACTAAATGGGCTAAGAGTGAATCAATCACAAGTTGTTCATCACCAGTGATTAATTAAAGAAAAGTGCAAGCACTGAAGACACTTTGGGGTTCTCCCCCAAGACAAAATGCAGAGATTCTAGTCTTTATTAATCCATCATATTTTTAAATATACATTTTATTGTAAAGATACTGTATAGATTGGCTATACCATTATATGAGTTAGGTCATTAATACATTTTCTATCGAGCATTGTTACCCCTCCAAGAAAGACTTTACTACTGTTATGACTTTTTCTAGAAAACCTTTCCATTATTTCTACATATGATTTTTCTCCTCTTTGTGTGTGTGTGTGTGTGTGTGTGTGTGTGTTTTGTGTGTTCTGTGATGAACCCTGAGCTGTGTCTTCTAGTTGGAGCACTCCACATCTGCTATATCATAAGGTCTCTATCCTGTATTTGTTCTGTATTGCAATTTCAATTTTCTTACAGATCAAAGACTTTCCCCATTTGGTACAATCCTAAGTTATTTCATTTGTGTGAATCAACTTATGTGTGTTAAACTGTGACCTCCAGGTCTTTCCACAATGGTCGCATTCATAAGGTTTCCCTCCTTGTGTTCTGTGATGGATGTTAAGGTGTGCCTTCCAGGTGAAAGAATTTCCATGCCTCCTACATACATATCTGTCTGGTGGGTTTTTTTCTGATGGACAGAAAGGTGTATGTTCTGGGTGAAAGACTTTCCACATAGGTCACATTCATAAAATTTCTCTCCTGTGTGTGCTCTCTGGTGGATAGTAAGTTGTACCTTCTGGATGAAAATCTTTCCGCAAATATGATATTCATAAGGTTTCTTTCCTGTGTGTTTTCTGATGGACAGTGAGGTTTGACTTCCAGGTGAAAGTCATTCCATACATGTTACATTCATAAGGTTTCTTTCCTGTGTGTATTATCTGATGGACATTGACGCTTGACTTCCAAGAGAAGGACTTTCCACACATGTTACATTCATAAGGTCTCTCTAATGTGTGTGTTTTCTGGTGCACAGTAAGGTTTCCTTTATGGGTGAAAGACTTTCAACACAAGTTACATTCATAAGTTTTCTCTCTAGTATGTGTTCTCTGATGAAGATTAAGATTTGATTTCTTGGTGAAAGATTTTCCACACATCTTACATTCATAAGAATTCTCTCCTGTGTGTGTTCTCTGGTGCAGAGGAAGATATGCCTTGCAGTAGAAAGACTTTCCACAAATGTTACATTCAAAAGGTTTCTCTCTAGTATGTGTTCTCTGATGGAGATTAAGATTTGATTTCTTGGTGAAAGATTTTCCACACATCTTACATTCATATGGTTTCTCTCCTGTGTGTGTTCTCTGGTGGTCAGTAAGATATGCCTTGCGGGAGAAAGATTTTCCACAAATGTTACATTCAAAAGGTTTCTCTTTTGTGTGTGTTCTCTGGTGGCGAGTAAGCTTTGATTTCTCGGTGAAAGACTTTTGACACACATTACATTCATAAGGTTTCTCTCTAGTATGTGTTCTCTGGTGGCAAGTAAGCTTCGATTTCTCGGTGAAAGACTTTCCACAAATGTTACATTCAAAAGGTTTCTCTTTTGTGTGTGTTCTCTGGTGAACAGTAATTTGTGTCTTCCAGGTGAAAGACTTTCCACACATGTTACATTCATAAGGTTTCTCTCCTTTGTGTGTTCTCTGGTGGCTAGTAAGATATGCCTTCCAGGAGAAAGACTTTCCACACATGTTACATTCATAAGGTTTCTCTCCTGTGTGTGTTCTCTGGTGTCTAGTAAGATATGCCTTCCAGGAGAAAGACTTTCCACAAATGTTACATTCAAAAGGTTTCTCTTTTGTGTGTGTTCTCTGGTGAACAGTAAGCTTTGATTTCTGGATGAAAGACATTCCACACTTGTTACATTCATAAGGTTTCTCTACTGTGTGTGTTCTCTGGTGTCTAGTAAGGTATGACTTGCATATGAAAGATTTTCCACAAATGTTACATTGAAAAGGTTTCTCTTGTGTGTGTGTTCTCTGGTGAACAGTAAGCTTTGATTTCTGGATGAAAGACTTTCCACACTTGTTACATTCATAAGGTTTCTCTCCTGTGTGTGTTCTCTGGTGTCTAGTAAGATATGCCTTGCATATGAAAGATTTTCCACAAATGGTACATTGAAAAGGTTTCTCTTGTGTGTGTGTTCTCTGGTGGACAGTAAGCTTTGATTTCTGGTTGAAAGACTTTTGACACATGTTACATTCATAAGGTTTCTCTCCTGTGTGTGTTCTCTGGGGGACAACAGGGTGTTTCTTCTCAGTGAAAGACTTTTCACACTGTTTACATTAGTCAACTACAGAAGACACATGAGAACTATATGCAGCACACATCTTACCAGGTTCACTGAAAATACCCATGCTCTGACAGCCAGTGACCTTTTCTATCCTCATCCCTAAGGAGTTCGCATTATTCTTAATCAGTTCTGACTTCTGTATGGAGCTCAAATGAAAACTTCTTATAAGTCTCACTTTTTCCTCCCCTGGGTTACTATTCATGATTGCTACTTCAGAGAGATATTTATTGTGAGGTTCCTGGCAGGTGCTAATCCCATCCTCCATTTCTGGGACATCTAAAATGAATAATAGAAAAATAGACAAAAACATAAATGAGATCCATAAATTCCTTAATGTAAAGATATTTCCTCACATTCTGTTACAATATTTTCAAATATGAATGCATTGCTTTATGCAGAATATATATATTTTTCTGCAATGTAGTAATTAAGAAAAAGTAGTACTGACATTTTACAATGGAAAGTAATGTTTTTCTGTATTTCAGATTTTTATATTTTTCTCAAGGAAATATTTACTTAAATTATTCATCTCTGTACTCTTAATGCTTCCATTCTGAATCTACCTCTATGCCCAGCACCACTGATAAGAAATTGTCCTGATCCTATTTTCCTCCTACCTGCAAAATACTAGTTTAAAAGAAAATGAGATCTCCTTACTACATTTCTTATTGTCTTTTTCTCTTTATGAATGACTTCTCTACAGAAAAAGAGAATTGCTAACATTAACTACACTGGAACATCAAATTCAGTTTCTCTCCACAAGAATTCTGGATTGACAATTCCTTGAGACAAAGGATCAACTAGTTCTCTTCCATACATGATTCAAGGGCACTAGGATTACTATTGCTCTGTACAGCTCAAGATAAACAGACCCACTGGGCTCTGGACCCAAAATCACCATTCAAGATGCTTTAACTCACCTGTGAAATTCTCTTCTGAGTCTTCTCTCATCCATGGTTCTGCACCTTGCTCCAGCTTGACAATCAATATAGGTTTAGGAACACAGTGCCCTGTGAATAAGAAATAGTGGAGAACTATTGCTCTTGCTGGGTCATCATTAATGTAATGTTGCAGACATCCTGTTCATTGGGTTGCTCCTAAATCTGGTTTCTCACTTGTTTTATTTTTTGGGGGCTGAGATCAGTTTTGGGGCCTGAACTATGAGCCTGGGAGCTCAAGGCTAGCACTCTACCACTTGAGCCACAATGCCAATTCTGGCTTTTTTTCTGCTTTTTTTGGTGCTGAGGAATTGAACACAGGGCCACAAGCATGCAAGGCATGGGCTCTACCACTCAGCCACCTTCCCAGCCCATGGTTTCTCAATTCTTAACAGCTCCCTGGTGTACTTTCCCCAGCTTTGGGTTTATTTTGCCAATGTGTGGCTTGAACTCAGCTCTTCTGCTCAAATCTAGCATTTTACTGGTTTGTGTCTTGGCTGCATTTCTAGTTTTTGAATGGTTAATTGGAGATAAGTGTCTCATGTCCATTTTTCTATAGTTGCTGGCTTTAAACCAAAATCTTCAGATTTCAGCCTACAGAGTATCTAGGATTCCAAGCTTGAAGCAATGCAACCTATGTCAGGTTTGGCTTACAAATACACACTTTCACCTACTGATTTCCAGATCATACTGACAGTAGTAATGTATATTCTATCTAGACTGTAGATCCACCTATAATAATCACCCCAAGTCTGGGAAGTCAGTCTCCTATTAGTGGACCATAGTTTAGAACTTTTGTCCAACTACTGATTAGAAATCTTAAAGATTGACAAATGACATAGCTAGCAAGATCAATAGAAAGCCCACGGATTGGGAGAAGATCTTTACTAGCCATACAACGGACAAGGGTCTCATATCTAAAATATACTTGGAACTCAAAAAATTAAACCCCCAACAACAAATCCTCAAAGAAACAACAGCCCAATAAATAAGTGGGCGAAAGACTTAAAGAGAAACTTCTCTGAAGAAGAAAGAAGGATGGCCAACAAGCACATGAAGAAATGTTCAACATCCCTAGCCATAAAAGAAATGCAAATCAAAACAACATTGAGATATCACCTCACCCCAGTTAGAACGGCAAAAATCAAGAACTCTAACAACAACAGATGCTGGAGGGGATGTGGACAGAAAGGAACCTTACTTCATTGTTGGTGGGAATGTAAACTTGTTCAACCACTTTGGAAAGCAGTATGGAGGTTCCTCAAAAGACTTCACATAGAACTCCCCTATGACCCAGCAATCCCACTTTTGGGCATTTACCCAAATGTTTACAAACAAGACCACACTAAAGCTACCAGCACGACTATGTTTATTGCAGCATTATTTACCATAGCTAAGATATGGAACCAACCCAGATGCCCCTCAGTAGATGAATGGATCAAGAAAATGTGGTATATATACACAATGGAATTCTATGCCTCCATCAGAAAGAATGACATTGCCCCATTTGTTAGGAAATGGAAAAACTTGGAAAAAATTATATTAAGTGAAGTAAGCCAGGCCCAAAGAAACATAGGTCCCATGGTTTCCCTTATTTGCAATATCTAGTATATCTATGAGTCAAGCGGAAAAGGTCAGATAATGTGATGTCAGGAAATTGAACCCTTAGATATGTATCTTAATGTTTTTTTCTTTCATGCATGTGTTTCTAATGCACTTATAAGATTATCTCTTTGTTGCTTTGTATGTCCCTCCCCACAGTATAACCCCTGCTTTCACTATATTTGATGTCAGTATAACTTGAGGAGGAGATGGGGAAAAACCAGTTGTTTAAAGATACAGGTGGACCTGTTGCAACAATGAGAAGTACAAGTTGTCATGTCCAAAACGAGCTTTACAACGTTGGTGCGGGGTGGGGGGAGGGGAGAAGGAGAAAGATTGGGATTGGGGGGGAGGGGGGAGGCTAGGAAGGGATGTGAAGGGTAAACCAAAGGAGGAGGCTGCAATGCTTGGTAAGAAACGTATGCATTATCCTGCCCATGTAATTGTAACCCCTCTGTACAGTATGTTCACAAATAAAAAATAAATTAATTAATTAAAAAAAAAGAAAGAAATGACACTTCCCATGGACTGGAATCTTTTTTTTTTTTTTTTAGAAAATGTAGTGGTCCAAAGGCTTACACTTCTAACCCTATATTTAGAAGGTAAGATCAGAAGAGGCAGGCTTGAAACCAACCTAGGCATGGAAATTCAGAATATACCCCCAAACAAAAGCCAAATAGAGTTGTGGCTCAAGCAGTGGTGTGAAAGGCAAACAACATCAAGCTCCCAGACCTGAATTTGGCTGACTTTTATACTAGCAGTTTTTTACCTGGGAATGGACTGGAACCTTATACCTAAATAACATAGTCAAATGTCTACTAAAAAAAAAGCACTTGATCTTCCAAATAAAAGTGACCTTTGCTCACCCAAGGACATTAGGTTGTTATACGTCTCCAGCATTACTTCTCTATGAAGGGTCCTCTGACCAGGATCCAGATCCTGCCACTCCTTCCACGTAAAGTCCACAGCCACATCATCAAATGACATCAGCTTCTGTAATGGCACATTTCCATCAAGAAATTAGACCTGGTTCATGAGAATTCCAATCTGGAATTTCATTATGCTGCAGGTATGCTTTTGTCTTACATAAAATGTTTGCAGCTGGCTATGTTATCTTTTCACTGGGAAAATTAAATAGCAATTTAGAAATATTTGACAATACATAAACCTGGCCACTAAAATACACAGATTTTCAGAGAACTGGTGGCTTATGCCTATAATCCTAGCTATTGAGGAGGATGAGGTGTGAGGATCAAGGTTCATGGCCAGCCCAGGAAGGAAAGTCCATGAGACACTTATCTTCAATAAACCACCAGAAAACTGAAAGTAGCACTGTGACTCAAGTGGTAGAGCACTCACCTTGACCTGAAGAGCTGATGGACAATAACCAGGCCCAGAATTCAAGCCCCAAGACTAATAAAAAGTGACAGATTCCCTAATGCATGCAAACACATTTCTGCTGCTAGCAATAGAGACAAGATAAAAATTCTAAGGAGACAATAATCTGGCATGATGACATTAAGTCTAAAGTGGTGTCTAAAAATTATATTATTATTTTTGATAAAATTTTAGTATATATCAGTACATAACAATGAATTAAACAAATATTTTCTCTTCATTTACATTTACTGCTTCACCATAAATCCTATTTAGACCTTCTATTAACAAGTACTCTTATAAGCAAGCAGAACACATTCAGCATATCACATGGTATACAGAACATAGAACAATACTAGATCAAAGAAAAGCAGTGTCCACATGAATATTAAAAAACAGTAACAGTACTCCAGAAACTAGCTAATGATTTATTGGGCCCTTATAAGATTGATTTAGTTCCCACATAAAAAATCCGTGGTTTGCCATGTTTGGTTTAAATACTAAATATTGAAATGTGGTCATAGATACCCTGATATTTCCTTCCTATGTAAAAAAGAACTGGTACCATGAAGTTTTGTAAACTTTGCCTACATTCTACAATACAAAATATAGGTGGGAGGGGAATAAAATATTCCTTGAGAAGATTTCCATTTTAATAAGCCTT